AATATAGCTGTATCCTTGTATCTAGATTTTGAAAGTTTGTCTTTCCCACACTACATGTCTGTTTTGGAATAGGATACACGTTCTGTGCTTATAAATGTAGGCTTTTAGTGATTTATGCCAACCTCTGGAGTTGGCAAGGGACCACAACTCGATTACTAATTCATCAACATCATAATAGAAAAAGAACAGTTAAGACTCCATGAGCAGACAAACTACATATACAAAGATATTGTAACAACTCCCAAACGAAAAAAGTAATGCAAAAAACAACTAACAGACTACGCCCACAATTATATCGTTATAATGAACCTTTATAGACACATCAAGAAACATTCTACACCAGAAGGTACTGGAATAATCTAGAAATCAAGAATATAGGTTCTTCTTTCTGAAATATGTCTTTACTCTCTCTAACAAAAATAATCCTCAGTCAAGAAACAAACAGATAAGTTGTGAGAGGATTTTTAAAAAAAAAGACAGCTGCAATCCCACTGAGACAATTTTGCAGATACTGCTTACAAGAAACATAGAATACTCTTTGGTTAAGCACATAGTCAGGCGAAAATATCCATACCCACTATAAGGTACAAATTTCAAAAAACATCTTTCTGATGATTTGAGCAGCAAAAATAGAAGAAATTCAGAAAGATTACTACCTGGGGCAAGACCACGTGGATCAAATTCATCAAACATGCCAATTACATTACTCTGAGAAGCCAGCATGGTTCCAGCAGCGACAGCAGTTCCAGCACTTTGACCAGCACTTTTGGATGAAGATGTAGGCTTAGTTGCAGATGGTGAAGATGATGCCTGTGCAGAAGCTGCTGGAGACTCACCATCCCTGAAATTAAGACAATTTTAAAATGATAAATGCATCCTAACAAAAGAAAGGCACGAGTGGGATGAAGAACTTTACCTTTCATCCTCAATAGTTTCCTGGGGACTCTTTGTTGCTTCTTCATAACTCGGTGGTCCAGCCGCATTATGGATGTCAATATCGCCCTCGAGCCCTCTGTTAAGAAATTTTATGTCAACAATAAAACAGATGTAGGTTCAACGCAAAAACCACAGAGTTTTACTGCCAAGAATATAGCAAGTAAAACTAGCTGGAAAAGGCCAGTTCCTTGATTTACCTTTCATCTGGAGACCTATCAGCTTTGTCACCACCACTTCTGTAATATTAAGAAGAACTGTGTCATAAACGTGAGATAAATTAAAATATTTAATATAATATGGATTTGCTTAAGATGACATAGCTCCATGCAGCAAAAAATTTGTCCTATACCATGAAGTGTCACTAGCATAGAAAATATATGCAGCAAATAAGAAGATCTTATATGCTTGTAGGAAAAAGGTTTTACCGAGATGATAAACGATCATCATCACTTCCATCAATGCTGCGACTTCTTGGCTTATACTGATTATTATCATTACCATGACCTCTGTAACTGTCATCTTGATAGACATCTCTGCCATTCCATCCATCAGAATTCCTACCCCCGCCATATCTCTCGTCATCCCTATACCCATTCCGCTCATCAATACTATATCCATAACGATCATCATCATGATGATCACCGTAACCCCCTGTACCCGTATATGAACTTTGCTTATATGCCTTATTAGCTTGTGCTTTCTGTCTGATCTCCTGTACTCTTTCTTTATCATTTACTAGTGCAACAAGAGTCTGAGATTTCTTTCTAACATTAATTCCCTGGTCTCTTCCACCGGAATCAATGTATTGGAATTCTGCTAGAGTCTGGAATGTCAAATAAACTTCCAGTCATGACATTGCAAATTAGATAAAATATGCTGACAACAAGTAGCATAATAGTGGGAGGTATCATATATTACCGATATCTGGTAAGCATGTTCCCTGATTTCGTCAATTACTCGTTCAGATCCGTGTGCTACTAGATACTCCAGAACTGTCAACGCCTGGAAGTTAATGGAAGAAAGTATAAGTTGATACTTATCATGGTGATAGTAATGTCGCAAAACTATACAACTACATGGCAGTAATGTTTTAATCAGAATATATATATACCAGACTAACGACTTAAGAAGTTATGTAGTTTAGAGGTCTCAAAATGTTCACAAACAAGACATAGAAAACATTTACAGATGCGCCGCATAATGGAAAATGGCAAGCTATTGCGTCACCTTAAAAACGTGACGCCATTTTTTTCCAGTATCATTGATCCTTCTCCAGATTACTGACATGATTACCCGGTACTCATGACTGCAACATCGTCCAGTAAGTATTGAGAAACTAATCTTGTAAAGGAAAAGATAAGAGGGAAGAAAATTGAAGTAGACAAGTATAAAGTTACCCATTATGAGTTGCCTGTGCAATCTCTGATAGATTTGTTCCATGAGGGCCCCAAGGCTCATTGCTTGTTGCATCAAGAATCTGAATAACAAAGAAAGAATACATCGGTTTTCTAGCAAATATAGTTACTCTAACAGCATGTTGGAATTTCTTCCAACGAGATTGACATAAAATATGGTTTCTTATTTTCTATAAATTTTTTTTTTAAAGTCTTATATACAGAGGTGATCCTTTGATTTGAATTAGTGAAGTTATATGCCAACTTTCAAGTTCCTTGTTGTAAAGAACAACATTCAAATCAACTAAAATTTGTTCAATTCAGCATCAAAATGAGATAATGTACCTTCTGCTCTATGCCAGAAACTTTAAGAACTTTCTTATTGACCCCCCTCTTGCTGCAAAACATCAACAAAAAAGAAAAGAAGAACGAAATGAAATATGAGAAAGAAAAATTAAAAAAATAATGAAATTCGAAATAACAGATATTGTATGAGGGCGGCCAAAATGTGGCAAAATGATATTACAAGTACAACATGACGAGGTATAAATGCTGAAATTCGAAGAAAATAGGATTGATACAGATAAAATATAAGCCAATTTCAAATTGAGTAAAAGATGCTTACAGATCCCTAACAGTTTGTCCAAAAACCTTCTTCATGATTTTTCTTCCTCCGATGCAGGGATAATCTACATACATAAAGAATAGACAAAAAATTTAGAGAGGGAAAACATAATCGATACAACCCTACACCTAATCAAGGATGTTAGCAAAATAATCCAATAATATTCGTTCACACATACAAACTAAATCCTAAAATTAATGATTAATAACAAAAAAAGCACCATTTAATGCCCTTCGCAAAAGAAAACTTATCGATGTCGAATCTTTCTAATGCAATATTATCCAAGATTTGAAATTGAAAAGAATCATACTACATTATCATTAAATTTACAAATAGGCAGATAATACAGCATTTAAATTTACAATTTGAAAAGAATGCAGGTGGAGGCAAAAAAACCTAACCCTAGAATGGGAAAGAACAGTACCTTTGTGATCCGGATCGGGCGGTAGCTGAAAGGATCCGGATCCGATTGCCGTCGTCTGAACAGAGGTCGGAGAAGGGAGTCTTCGATCTAAACGGATCGAAAAAAAAGAATGGGAATTGGATCCGATCCAAGATGGGGGAAGAGGAAGAGAGAGAGAGAGAGGGAAAAGAGCGTAGATTCCGGTTGAGGTCGAGAAATGCGAAGAGGAGAGCTTTTTATTGTTTATTTTAGGGTTTTATTAAACATTTATGTTTATTTGATAAGTTTAATCATTCCCCCTGTCTTCGTAATAATAATTAGAGGAGAGAGAAAAATAAACGCGTTTTTTGCGGTTAGATTTATTAGATTATTTTTCTGTAGAAAATGGAAATTTTTTTTTTTTGAGAAGTTAGAAAATGGAATTGTATGTTTACGGAAACGCTCTTTTAACAGCTAAGAACACCGCTGACATTGTTGAATGTTTAGGTCAAAATGGAAGTAAGATGGTTGAAATAAGAGAGAAGGTCTGCCGCTCAATATTGACTTCTTAATGGAATTTCCCTTTTTCAAAAAAAAAATGTAATTTCTCTATTTTTGATTCATTATTTCAGAAAATAGATAAATTACAATGAATTGGAAACGGATTTGCTTTAGCAAAACTTGTTTTCAATCAGAATTATGATGGATAGTTATCGACCAAAAAATAGAAATGCGATCAAGAAGACTATAAAAACCTCCCCTTGAGTTAGGATTATCGTAAAACTCTCTTTAACTTTAAGATTTTTATCGAAAACAAAGCCCTAACGATATTAATCGTAAACTTTACATGGACTGGTAAGATCATGCGGGGGGGAATTCTTCCAATGAAAATAGTGGTTCGCATTTTTGTGGTGTATTCGGATAAAATGTTGAAGTCAATGATGGTTTTCTACTAACTCCTAAACTCAAGGGTTTTTTTTCTGATATTTTAAAAGCTATGAGGGGGTTATCTGATAATCTTCTAAGGTTAAGGTTGAGTTTTGCTACAGGGACCCAAAATATGGGACAAATAAAGGGGACAAGTGAGGTGTCCCCCTCCTATTGGATAATAAGTTGGCCATCATTAATGATGGCCAACTCATTATCCAATAGGAGGGGGACACCTCACTTGTCCCCTCTATTGGTCCCATATTTTGGGTCCTTAAAGAGTTTTTCTTTCTGATATTCAGCTGACTTTATTACGATAATCTGGTGAGCGCTACGTTGCAACCTAATGCGAAATTCTTTAGCAAAATTCGCCAGAGTTTTCCCTAATTGAAGATGAATCATCGCGCAATCATCTCACTGACCACCACATGATTTTATAAATGCTTAAACTACTACTTCCAAGAATAACTAAACTTATTACCACGGTCTGGTGAACGCACGCCACCCGGGAACCTAACGTGTACCTTTTTAGTCTGGTTGTTGAGACCAAATGAATGATTGGTAAGATGCGGTGTGGTTCCGACGATGCACCCACCGCTTGGCACCGACAGGGCACTGGACTCCAGGTGCCATGTCCTTGTAGCCTTGCACAAAGGATTATTTTCACTTCGGTCCTACAAATTCTACCTATTTCTCACTTTAATGCTCTAAAGTGTTTCTTTTTTACATTTTTAACTTTCCAAAGTTTCAGTTCCAGTTTCCGCTAAATGTTCTAGGGCTGGCAATGGTACACAATTCCATTCCAACCAATTCATGTACCAACCGTACCAAATACGTTGGTATACCATCAAATCGGTACATGGTACACGGTACAGTATACCGTACCAACTTCAAAATATGGTACAGTAGGTGGTACACATTTTCCTCTACCGTGGTATACCGTACCTACCAACTTATATTATATTAAATTATTATATATATAAAATATATATATATCCTTAAATCTCAACCATAGATTTAGGGAAGATAAATCTCAACCATCAATTTTTTTAACCCTACGTCGCCAACCCGCCCTCTGTCAGCCCTCCTCCTTCGCAATCTCGCCGTCGAGCTCCTCCTCTACCGTCGAGCTCCTCCTCCGCCGCGACACTGACATCTTTTGCCCAAAAAGAAGAGATCTCGGTGGGTGTATGTATTTCATTAGTCTGCTGGTTTTCTTTAGTTTCCACAAGCAATTTTGTTGATTATCATTTAATTTTTGTGGTGAAAGGACTAAATATTAACTTGGGCTTGTAAATGGATTGAATGATTGATGCCGGATGTGCTCTTTGTTTGCCTTTCTATTGCGTACCTCCGACCTCGTGTGTGTTTGTCCCCCCTTTGTTTTAAGCATATTTTTATTTTTGAATTAACTGTGATTGTGGCTTGAGTTCTTTTTCACTGTTTAATTTAGCTATGGAGAGCTTTGTTCTTTGTGAAACAAAATTTATCCATCTACATGAGCCTAAGAATGTTCGTTGGGTCATATATGTAGAGAAAAGAAGTCTAGCTATCTGATATGAAACCAAGGCCACGACTGTACATTGATACTTTGTGAAATCAGTTTTCTGTTTTGTGAACTTTGTAATTGATGTTTTATTTTTGTTCCATTGTAGGCAATGGATTCTTTTGTGAACTTTGGCATGTTCAATTTATGACTTCGTATTCGGTAATTTGGTTGAATTTGTATAAGACTTTGGAGTTTGGATTTGTGTTGTTATTTGTTATTAGTTTCTTACTTATTTCGCAACAATGAATTACTGAATTAGACAATTAGTAAGACAGGTTTAGCCTTTGGCAGCAGGAGAATTATGTTCTTTTTAACTTTTTGTAATGGTGTTGTTGAGCTGGGCCTTTAAATTTTTAGGCCATAAATATCTTGGTAGAAGCTCATTACCAACCGTACCAACCGAGTACCAACCGTACCAAGTAGTTGGTATACCAACATTATTGGTTGGTAGAAATGGTGAATTTTTCCTACCAATTATATATTGGTTGGTACATGGTACTAAGAAAATGTAATTGGTATACCTACCAATCCAGCCCTAAAATGTTCTGTTAAATTTGTATGCTACGTTTAGATCCATATTGCCTAATTGTTAGGAATCCCAACAGCGAAAAGTTTCTAGGGGCTGTTTGGTTGTATGTTTTTACCATGTAAAATGATGAAAAATGTAAAAAAGTGGGTCCTAATGTCAGCTTTCATCACATTACATTGTTTGTTTAAATTCTTTTTTACATGAAAAGCTTACACCTTTTGATGAGGTATCACCGAAAGCAAAATCATCAAAATTAGGAGTGATTTTGTTGGAAATCTTACACAATGTCATAAATGTGTCCAAAAAAATAATAAAAAAGTCAAAACTTGTAGAAAGTGGTGAGGTGGATAACCACTTTCCATTTTGTGTCATAAATACTCTAGTTTATATTATACTATCCAAACAATGTAATACTATTATTTTAGGATTCACAAAGATTCCTAATCAAACAATGTAAACACTAGAATAAAAAGTGGTGAGGTGGATAACCGCTTTCTATTTTGTGTCATAAATACTCTAGTTTCCTAAAGACATCCAAACAGCCCCTAGTCGCACTGAATGTGAATACGGACGTGAATACCAAAGTGAAACTGAAACCGGAACTTTGAAACATCAAACCGTGAAAACATGTTTTCAGGTAAAATTTTTGGGTACCAAAATGATTGCTACAAGTTAAAATAGTTAAAATTCCACGTATAAACAAGGGCTCTAGAAAGACATAGCTGCCATCACAGAGATATCAGTCACACGTGATAACCGATATGAACTCAGTCACCACCACCCGCTGTTGGGAACAAACAGATATCACACCAACAAATAGCTCAAAAAAAAAAAAAAAAAAAACCGAACAGAGCAAAACAAAAAAAAAAAAAAAAAAAAACCGAACAGAGCAAAACAACGCCCTACTTCCTGCGGCACCGCATGAGCAAAGAGCATAAAACAGACTGAAAAAAACCGCACGCTACGTGGAACAGTTTTTAAAAAAAATAAGGAACCAGCCAAATAATGATCTCAAAACATTCAAGCAAAGCATAAAGGCTCTTGCTCCTGCTCTGCAGCAAAAGATCCTCAGATGAGATACTAATAAAATGTCAAAATGACATCCACAAGATTATTATACCACACTTACGGTTTTAAGCAATCAACAAGGTTCAAATAGAACACAGTCACTAATCTCCTGTTAGTCTAAAGTGTAGACCCAAAGTTGAAGCCGAAGCTGGAATCATGAAGAACACAGTCCAAAAAGTACAGGAGAACTGCCAGTCAGCCTGGCGGTCGACCGTGAGTCAGCGGCGGTCGACCGCGAACGTGCACAGGAGTCAGGGAGAGGCTGGAGCTAAAGGCGGTCGACCGCGGCGCTCGACCGCACCAACCCTGTAATGTTTTCCGCTCTCGGGTTTTGGTTCGTCGACCACCACGGTCGACCGCGATACCTACAATCAACCACCACGGTCGACCTCGATACCTGCAACCAACCACCACGGTCGACCGTGACGCTGTTTGCCAGATTCCTTATGAGCTCAGGAAATCAGTTTGGGCTGGGTTTGATATAAATACTCAAACGTTTTTAGGGTTTGTTAAGCATCAGAAAACCATCAAAAGAGAGAGCTTTTGACAGAGAGATCTCAGAGAGATAAAACCCTAGTTTGGAAGCTTGTATTTCTTCTTCATTCAATAAAAGAATTGTGAGGTGTGCCTCCCGATGACGTAGGCACGTTGCCGAACCTTGTTAAATCTGTGTGTTCATCTCTTTTATTATTCCTGCAAGTTTTGATCTTTATTTGTGGTGAATTTTTCTACTTTTCTACTTTCAACACAAGGTTCGGAAGGGCAAGGGTTCGATTTGATTGTTTCGAATCCCCAATAACTGGTATCAGAGCTTCGTTCAGCAATTTGTGTGAAAGCCATGGCAGAGGAAATCAAATCAAATATCGAGAAGTTTGACGGCTCAGACTTCGCCTACTGGAAGTCGCAGATGGAGGACTATCTGTACCAGAAGGACTTGTATCGCCCGTTGATGGGCAAGGATAAGGGACAAAAGAAAGGTGAGTCAGATGATGATTGGAAGATACTGGATAGGAAGGCTCTAGGACAAATCCGGTTGTCGTTCATCAAATCAGTAGCCCACAATATCTTGAAGGAGAAGACGACGGTTGGGCTTATGGAAGCGCTCGCAAAGATGTACGAGCAACCGTCGACATCAAATAAGGTGCATCTTGTCAAGACTATTTTCAACCTCAAGATGGCAGAAGGACGGTCCTTCACGATG